TCAGGGCAAAGGGCAATGTAGGTTAATAATGTTCAGGCGAGGAGAGATGTAGGCATATAGATAATCAGGGTAAAGGGCAATGAAGGCATATAGATGCTTTTCAGCATGTAATATTTTGTTACAAATCCAGAAATGCTATATCTTTTAGGCATTATTTTTATTCAAGCTAAATGTTGATTATTTAGAGATCTATAAGAAATGTTTTGTAAGATATTATAATGTATAATATATAGTGCTTGTTAAGGTAATAAGTAAACATCCACATAACTGAGTGCAGTACACTAGAAGTTTTGTGGATAAGTATAAATAAATATATGTACTTTGGTTCTCAGTGGAAAGCACTAGAGATAAGATTATTTATTTACTATTGTCCTACTGTATCTCATTTTTAAATAAACACTGTTTAATATTGTTGCCTATGTACTTGATATTTGTTTGTAAACTACAAAATCTGAACAGTACTTTTTATAAGTGCCAGTTTTTGCATCATATTGAAGCTATTATAAAAAAATGTGTTCCTTAATTGTAAGATTTTTTAGATTTTTCTCAGTGCCCCCTGCACCACAAGAGGTTGTTGTTAGTAGAAGCAGTTGGAAGACCATCCGGATCGCATGGAATGAACCAACATCCCTGTTTCTGGCTATCGGATCTTTTACAGCCCGTTTGACGTAGAAAATTTGGACAGCTGGCAGTCTATTGACATTAGTCCTTACAGAGTTGCAGAAATTACAGGATTGGAAAAACTGACATATGGCATCAGAGTGGCAGCAAAATCATTAGATGGAAGGTTTGGGAATGCTTCTGCTGCTGTTGTGGCAATTGTACCTACATGTAAGTTAAAAAGTGGTTGTACTTGCAAAATAAAAAAAAAAAAGAGATGAGTTTTAGCTGAAAGTTGACATTTAAATTATCTCAATAAAAGCAATACAAAATGTTTGATGCAACTTGTGGTTTAGATGGCACAGTAGATGGCACAGCTGAAAGTAGTGGACAAGATTTTAGTCCGTTTTAAAATTGAAAAAAATAAGTCCTATTGTGCATTTTTTCTTTTGATTATCTGAATTCAGTCGAATGGGGTCGGGTATTCTACCAAGAAAAAAACTTCTGACACATAAGAACTCACATTTTCAACCGGATTTTCGAAATTGGTTATTGAATTTGGGATATATGGCGGGCGGTCGGGCGGCTGCCAACCAGTATCCGTTTATAAACATGAAAACGCTTTGACTAAATCTTTTCAAGTTTAGATATGTTGTGTTCTGGTATTTCTTTTATCTTTTTTTCCTTTTTATGTTTTTACTCTTTGCTTTTCCCCATTAAAACAGAAATGTTTAAACAAGGGAAGAATTGATAATACAGAATAATACAGATTATTTAATTGATTTATGCGGAATATCGTTGTTAGAAGTAATCGAAATTTCTGATTAAACAATTTCAAGGTAAAACATATACTCTTTGAATTAAGAAAAAAAAGATGAAATTTTAAATGCCGCCTTATCCTTTAAAATAATTACATGTTTTATAAGATGAACGTATTTAGATGTTTATACAATCTATAATAGCTTACAATACCACTCTGACATATAACTTTAAACATAATCGATACATAAACCTTAAATGGAAACAATAAAGAACCAACACGTGCTCAGAACAGAACAGAGGAACACAAAACATTTGAAAAAACAACAGTAAACAATCAACACTTGCTCAGACCAAAACAGAACAAGAAAAAACGGCAAACAAAAACAATTGTTCAGACCACAACATAACAATAAAACATTAAACAAACAACGCATGCTAAAAAAAAACCAATAAAAAACATTTAAAACATCAGTAAACAGACAACACTTTGTTTAAACCAGAAAAAAACCTAATAAAAACAAATACAGACAAAATGGTAATCATACATTACTTTACTCAAAATAGAACGACACTTGCTCACTACGAAACAAAACAGTTAACACTCAGGACTTGGCCAGACCAACAAGAATAGTAAAAAAAACGCCAAAGAACAGTAAACAAATAACAGTCGATTTTTAAATATTATGCTGTATGATCTATATATCTGGTGTCAATTTTTCACAACCTGTAATTTTCATTTTTTTTTTTAGAAAAAAAGTTTATTACAACTACATTTTGACAACATAAAAGAACATCTTATGTAAATACCCCATAAGAAACAAAAACAACGGTACACACAAAAACAACACATGCTCAGACTAAAACATATTAAAAAAAAAAAAAAAGGCAAAAAGTAATCAAACTATACTTTCATATACAACAGTCAACATGAAGTGTACACCTTTCATTGAACACAAATAGATACTCAAACAGCACTTGCCCAGATCATTGGTACACACATTACATACAACATGTAGTGTCAACCTTTCATAGAACACAATACATACTCAAACAGCACTTGCTCAGATCCTTGGTAAACAAATAGTATACAACGTGTAGTGTCAACCTTTAGTAGAACATCATAGATACGCAAACAGCACTTGCTCAGATCATTGGTACACAAACAATATATTACATATACTATCAGCCTTTCATAGAACACAACAGATACACAAACAGCACTTGCTTAGATCATTGGTACACAAACAACATATACAATATAGTGTTAACCTTTCATAGAACACAATAGATACATAAACAGCACTCACTCAGATCATTGGTACACACATAACATACAATGTGCAATGTCAACCTTTCATAAAACACAACAGATGCTCAAGCAGCACTTGCTCAATTCATTGGTAAACAAATAATATACAACGTGTAGTGTCAACCTTTCATATAACACAATAGATAGACAAACAGCACTTGCCAAGATCATTGATACACACATTACATACAACATGTAGTGTCCACCTTTCATAGAACACAATAGATACTTAAACAGCACTTGCTCAGATTCTTGGTACACAAATAATATACAACGTGTAGTGTCAACCTTTAGTAGAACATAATAGATACGCAAACAGCACTTGCTCAGATCATTGGTACACAAACAATGTATTACATATACTGTCAGCCTTTCATAGAACACAACAGATACACAATCAGCACTTGCTCAGATCATTGGTACACAAACAACATATACAATTTAGTGTCAACCTTTCATATAACACAACAGATACATAAACAGCACTCACTCAGATCATTAGTACACAGATAACATACAATGTGCAATGTCAATCTTTCATAGAACACAACAGATGCTCAAGCAGCACTTGCTCAATTCATTGGTAAACAAATAACATACAACATGTAGTGTCAATCTTTCGTAGAACACAATAGATACACAAACAGCACTTGTTCAGATTATCGGCACACAAATAATATAGAACCTGTAGTGTCAACCTTTCATAGAACACAATAGATACTCAAACAGCACTTGTTCAGATCATCGGCTCACAAAAAATATACAACCTGTAGTGTCAACCTTCATAGAACACAATAGAAACACAAACAGCACTTGCCAAGATCATTAGTCCACAAATAATATACAAAGTGTAGTTTCAACCTTTCGTAGAACACAATAGATACACAAACAGCACTTGATCAGATCATTGGTACACACACACTATAAAACGTGTAGTGTCAACCTTTTATAAAACACAAAAGATACACAAACAGCACTTGCTCAGATCATTAGTACACAAATAATATACAACGTGTAGTGTCAACCTTTCATTTAACATAATAGATACATAAACAGCACTTGCCAAGATCATTGGTACACACATTACATACAACATGTAGTGTCAACCTTTCATAGAACACAATAGATACTCAAACAGCACTTGCTCGGATCCTTGGTACACAAATAGTTTACAACGTGTAGTGTCAACCTTTAGTAGAACATAATAGATACGCAAACAGCACTTGCTCAGATCATTGGTACACAAACAATATATTACATATACTGTCAGCCTTTCATAGAACACAACAGATACACAATCAGCACTTGCTCAGATCATGGGTACACAAACAACATATACAATATAGTGTCAACCTTTCATATAACACAATAGATGCATAAACAGCACTCACTCAGATCATTGGTACACAGATAACATACAATGTGCAATGTCAACCTTTCATAGAACACAACAGATGCTCAAGCAGCACTTGCTCAATTTATTGATAAACAAATAACATACAACATGTAGTGTAAATCTTTTGTAGAACACAATAGATACACAAATAGCACTTGTTCAGATCATCGGCACACAAATAATATACAACATTTAGTGTCAATCTTTAATAGAACACAATAGATACTCAAACAGCACTTGTTCAGATCATCGGCACACAAATAATATACAACCTGTAGTGTCAACCTTTCATAGAACACAATAGATACTCAAACAGCACTTGTTCAGATCATCGACACATAAATAATATACAACCTGTAGTGTCAACCTTCATAGAACATAATAGATACATAAACAGCACTTGCCAAGATCATTAGTACACAAATAACATACAAAGTGTAGTTTCAACCTTTCGTAGAACACACTAGATACACAAACAGCACTTGCTCAGATCATTGGTACACACACACTATAAAACGTGTAGTGTCAACCTTTTATAGAACATAAAAGATACACAAACAGCACTTGCTCAGATCATTTTTACACAAATAATATACAACGTGCAGTGTCAGCCTTTCATATAACACAATAGATACTCAAACATCACTTTGTCAACCTTTCATTCCATATTAATCAAATTACAAAGGTTATCTTAACAAAATCTTTATACAAAGCCCTAATTTGTTTTCACTTCCTCAGGGTGGTACCAAACACCTTGATTGGAATTAATTTGGCTCGTTTAAGGATCATAAAATTTTTACAAAATATTAAATTTGACCCTTTGACACATTTTTCTTTAAAAACACAAACCAAGTATTTGAATTTTTTTATGAAATGTACACAAAAAAGAATATATACAAATATATTTGATGTGATAATAATTTTATTCTTCAGATTCATCACCAAGTTGGAAACCCAAATCCAGACCAGCATAGCGTGATTCCATTGTAACCAAGAATGAAGGAAACGACGTTAAATTAACTTGTGGTGTGAATGGCAACCCTAAACCATCCATTATATGGTATAGAGATGGAAGAATGTTTGATGATAAGAAAAGATCAAAGGTACTATTTAGATAAAAACAAATTCAGATGAAACATTTATAATTGCATATTGTTATTCTAAACTGTTTCCCAAAATTGATCGCTTTGAAGATCATACAAAACATTTCATTAAAATCAAATATGTCAATAAAGGTTTTGATTTTGTAAATATTGCCGGTATTTTTAAAGATCATTCTGTTAAAGAACAAATTCCTGGCTATTTTGATAATACTGACCTCCCTCTTATTTGTTATGTTTACAAAAAATTTACCCGAAACTATGTGTTTAATTATAGCAAAGTGTGTAAAGATGTTAATATCAGTGACAATACACATACGTCATGAAATTGCAGTAATTCCGAATACGTTTATTGCCAAACTTCCCATGTTATAACAGGAGACCTTAAGATCGTTCATGACCGAGAGTTGAAATTATTCCTCAGTAAAGGACCTAAATATCATCCCCCGTCAATTATTTATTGGAATGAGTGTCGTAACATCATCCACAACTTACTCCATACTTACTGCTCGAAATGGATAAAACGAGAAAAAGCTGACAAAAAATCCTTAGATTCTTTGTTTAACTCAGTAATGAATATAGTTGATATTCGTATAAAACATTTTAAAGAACATTTTACTTCTAACAAAAACCATAATCGCCCTATTTCTCGTATCAAACATAAGCTAAAAGAACTCGCCAAGGAATTTGTTTTTGTCCCGGCTGATAAGGCTGCTATTAATATCATTATTGTTTGATGTAAATTTTACATTGAGGTTCTGCAAAAGAAACTCACGAATTTACCAACGTTCCAACTGACTCCATTTTCGGAAAATAACATCTGTAACAAAAATAAACTTTTAGCTACTTCTTTACAAGTAGAACCGAATACAATGAAAGTTCAAACTATGTAATGGCTTCCGAAGCTGCACAAAACACCTCATAAATATAGATTTATTTCGTCTTCAAGTCATTTTTCTACTACTAAACTGTCTATTCTACTTACTAGTACACTTGGTACAATCAAAAACATGGTAATACATTGTACGAATAAGGCATTTGAAAATAGTGGAATTAATTACTTTTATATTGTCAAAAAATCGTTGGAAGTACTTGATAAATTGCATGCTTATATTGGTGATTTCGAATCTGTTCAAAGTTTTGATTTTTCTACCCTATATACCACTTTGCCTCATAATCTTATTAAGAAAAAATTCACACACCTATCAATTAAATGGGCATTTAAAAAGTCAGAATGCGAAAATATATATTCAAACTCTTTTATGTTATTTTTAAGTAACAACAAACAAAATAACTATGTCATTTGGACCTGCTTTGATACGATAACTGCCCTTGAGTTTTTACAAGATAACATTTTTGTTCGCTATGGAGATTCCGTATATCGTCAAGTGATCGGAATTCCAATGGGGACTAACTGTGCGCCACTTATTGCAGACCTGTTTCTTTATTGTTATGAGTAACAATTTATGATTAAAATCAGCAAAGACCCATTGAAACAACATTTGATACAAAATTTTAATAACACTTTTAGATATTTGGATGATATATTGGCTCTCAATAATGACGACTTCAGTATGTACACTAAATAGATGTATCCTGCTGAACTGACTTTAAATAAAGCTAATACTGACAATGAACACTGTCCTTTCCTGTATCTTGATATCTATATCTTTAACGGGAAGCTTAATACCAAAATTTGTGATAAAAGAGATGATATTTCATTTCCTATTGGCAATTATCCATGTTTAGATGGTGACGATCCCTTGTCACCATCTTTTGGTGTTTATATACATGTATCTCAACTTGTTCGATTCGATCATGTATGTAACAACGTATTTGATTTTTACGCAAGAAATATCTGTATTACTGAAAAATTATTACACAAGGGTTTTCGTTATCACAAACTAGTCAAAACGTTTACTAAATTTTATCATCGGTACAAGGACAGCATTCGTAAACATAAATAAACATCCAGACATCTTATACGTTCAGGTATTTCACATCCAATCTTTAATACAAAGCACAAAAATGTCGGCATTCACATCAAAAGCTAACCAAACCTTTCAACAGACTTATTCAGAAGGGATATAGTTACGATACTGTTTCAGGTCATTAAGGATTGCATGTTTTGGTATAACTATTGATTCACTCATAGGGTCTTTGCATCGGAAGTAAACACATTTATTCTAAAACCAGTTGTTGGTATGATACGGGTTATTTTCTTCTCATAAATTTTAGGAAAGTATGATACTAAACGGCTAACGGGAGGGATTGTGCTTGATTTTGATGAAGACAAAACCTTTCATTCAGTTTATTTGATTCCTGAAGCTGGCATGTTAGTAACTGCTACATGTAGTAGTCCTTTGTTTATTTATGTATCATTTTTATTTTGCTTAGTTTAAATAATTTCTGTTGTTATCTATTCTGAAATCGAACTCGGACTTCTTTTAAAAGTGAGTTTTACTGTACGCATTGCTGTGTGTTTTTTTTTATTCTACATTGGCTAGAGGTATAGGAGGAGGGTTGAGATCTCACAAAACATGTTTAACCCCGCTGCATTTTTGCGCCTGTCTCAAGTCAGAAGCCTCTGGCCATTGTTTATATTGTTTGTTTTTTTAATTTAAGTTCATTTATATGGTTTTGAGTTTAGTGTGACGTCCATTTTCACTGAACTAGTACACATTTAGGTTTAGGAGCCAGCTGAAGCCCGCCTACGGGTGCGGGATTTTCTCGCCGTGTTGAAGACCAATTGGTGTTCTTCGGCTGTTTTCTGCTTTGGTCGGTTTGTTGTCTCTTTGACAAATTCCCCATTTCCAATTTCAATTTTACAAATTTGTAGTTCAAGTCAAGACATTGGTAGTGTGTTATGTATTGTAATTATCATGTTTATTCATCTTGGCCTAATTTGTGTTGTGTGGCCTTATAAGATGGTTATTTAAGTGGGTTATAGTTGTTAAGAAAATAATGTTACAATTGTGCAGTTTATAAATCATTGAAACAATCATAGATACTGATGGAATGATTAGAACTTTCTATTTGACTTACATGATAATTCCGGAATGATCATAATCTACGACGCGTAATTTAAACTTCTACAATATTCTAGGAGTTTCCCTTCTACAGTGTTCTAGAAGTTTCTGTGACAACTATATATTCAGACACCGAAATTAGATCGACAGACATTAGTAATATACTTGTATTCTCAGAAGATCTCTGGAGTTGTTAGATTGACACTCTTATTTACGCACAACATCATACTAGATTGTGAACTTAGAGGACATATACATTTCATAGGATTCCGTACAGTTATAAAGAGAAAAATTCCGGATAAAGAAAAGACAAAGGATCAGACATATATATCTGAACTGTTAAGTTAACATTTCTATTTGTATAATATTTCTTGTAAAATAGTATAATAAATCCTGTTCAATTTATTATTAATTTTTGTCGTTTGTTGGCTACAACTTAAAGGTGATTTCTGACCGTAACAAGTGTGCTCATCTAAAACCAAATCGAAAAAAAGCATGCAAAACAGCAGAAAATGAATGATTAATCTTCAAAATATCTTCTGACCAACCCCCTAATCTTCAGTTGAAATTACAACTTTGAATGTGTTTTGGGATGGGTTTAATGTTTTACATAAATGTACCTTTTGGCTTGGTTTTGTGTCTATGCAAAATGGTTGGTTGAGATTTTGTTTCACTGTTCAACTTTTTGGGAACTTATAGTCAGGTGATAGATGAAACCTGGCAACAAAAATTGCAAAAACAAATTTTTTAAATTCTGAAATTGAATAATTAGGAAAAAATTTCTAGAACACTTTCATTTTCAGATCTCACCTTGTGAATAATTTAAGAAAAAAGTTTATAATTGGATTATGGTTAAAGTCTCTAAAAAATTGAAAGTATTTACATAAATTATATACTCACACTAACGCAGCATTTAACATCTAATTATAATATTTTGGAATTAAAAGTACAGAAGTTGTAGGTGTATTGATATGGCTTTAGTATGAAATCGTGTTTTTGGTGTGATACTCTACTGTTCGGAGAGAACTGGTATCATGAACTGTCAAGAATAATTCATTTAATAAGTGTAATCATATGAGGCTGTATCAACAGATTATGTTACACAAATGTACATCTATATAAAAGTTTTTGATATATAAACTTGATTCAACATATACATACATGTACATAATATAATTAAGGTAGGGGAACAAACCCCAAAAGGTACCTAGTGCTTAAAATAGATAAAAAAAAAGACTAAACATGGATACTAAAAAAGTGCTATATGACAGTTGTTTAGTCAACATATTATGACTTGTTTTCCATTCGTTAGATGTGTTTAAGCTTTTGATTTTGCCATTTTATAAAGGACTTTTCGTATTGAATATCCCTTGGAGTTCGGTATTTTTGCTATTTTACATTTTAGTCAACTCTGTATATCAATGTAATAGAAAGACCACCCTTTATAAAAAATTCAAATGCTAAAGATCTCTTTCTTTTTATCCCCCCCCCCCCCCCCCCCCCCCCGCAGTAAAAAAGAAAAGAAAGGAAAGAACCTGCCTTAGTGCTCAACTTTGTTACCTAACTACCTGTAGTTAATATTTATTGGAAATAAGAAATAATACATTGTGGTATAGCAAGAATACACTCATATGTCAACATTCATGTTGCCAAGAATGTATTGTAAATATTAGAGAAATTCTATTTAAACATATCGTAAAGGTTTTTGTCTTCGCCTGCGTCGAGAGTTATAAGATAGACACATGAATTACAATCTGGAAGTGGTGATACTTTAAACTGCTTGTATAAAGCTTTAAATTTCAGAAGGTGGAGGACCTGTATGCTTAATATCTTGCATGTAGGTGCCTGATATTACAAAATTTTAGTCTGTTATAAGTGTTTTGTGATTGACCTCGTTTCCATGGTTCGGCGTCTGTTTGAAAAATACTTATACATTTTTGTTTGTCATGTGAAATACTCACTTTCAATGACTAATTAGATAAACTATATTTAGATTCTTGCAAGGTTCACATTACATGGGTCAGTGATCAAGGTTAAATTTTCATGATCAAGTCCGATCTTCGATACTATAAATAATAGTTCAACTAAATTTGGTCTATAGAATATTTGTATAGTGTACATGTCCGACAGGCAGGTTCCGTCTGATTTTGACCTAATTTTCTTGGTTCATTGGTCAATATTTAGTTTTGGTGGTTTTGGTCTCTTTCGGATACTATAAAAAATATGTCAGCTGTATTTGGTATATAATATGGTATGATGACTGTCTGGGAGGTTTCATCTGACCCTGACTTTTTTCATGGTTTAGTGGACAACGATGTTACGTTTATGTGATACCTGTAGTAAACCCTTCATATAACAGACTCCAACATGATTTCAATCACAACATGTAAAGCAAGTGAGACATTTCACCACATGAACACTTGTTAATGAGAGGTATTTCCCACCTGACTTTACTCATGCACTGTGTAAAGATTTTTAATCAAATTTGAATTTCAGTAGATTGATTGATTGATCGATTGATTGTTGCCTGCATAACACCAATTGGATAAAATATACAGATTGTTGTCTTTGTACAACTAAATGCTAGAATGATCTTACCTTTATTATTTTGCAACTTGTGTGTCCAGATATAGTATTTTTATTCCTCTGATCCAAAGGAAGGGTATACTATTTCACCTAGGTTTTAGTTGTTCTTCTATTCATATGTCTGTCTCATTGAATTAAGTGCGTCCTTCAAGATAAATGTGTGTTTCATTGGATATTTTGTACATAATATCATTACCCAACAGGATCTATGTACATGACATCCACAATGGTGTAAAATGTTTTTTGTAGTATTATGAGTTTCTTGACAGTATATATTTCTTTCCTGTAGACAAAGATGCGCAGGTACTCACTGATAATGAGAGATGCCAAGGTTGATGATGAGGAAGATTACCAATGTTTAGTGAAAAATGAATATGGCAGTCTAAATTTTGCATTCTATGTAACAGTCGCAAGTAAGTTCTTGCACAGTAAATGGTTCTATGTTCGCCATCAACTGTGATTTAGTTAATCAAATATTTACCAACCATCTTTTCATTCTGTTAAAAATAATTTATTAAATGTAGTCACATACTAACTATTGTAATGTACTATCACACTTGAATCTAAATTGTCCCCAAGGGCTAGAAGTCAAGGGTCATTGGTTCAAACTAGTCTTTCATTAATTAGCATTTGCAGTTCAAATGCTATTAATGCATACGATATGTGTTTGTAAGAGAGACTGACATGGAGTCAGAAAGTGTTTAGTTTATTTATGACATAGATAGTGCCGAATGACATACATTAAAATGGCAAAAATGTACTCATACTTAAGTATTTAGACCCTCAGATACATATATAATAATGAAATTTTTGTTTTTGGTATACTGACTTTATCAGCAAGAATATCAAGCGAGCCCTCTAGGGCGAGCTGATAAAGTCAGTATATATAAAAAAAATGACATTATTCTTTTTATCGGTAGTTTATATTAACAATTTGTGTTTTGTTGTTCACAATATTAAATGAAATTAAATAGTTAGGAAAACTATTTTTATGTCTACAAAACATTGTGAAGTTATTTGGTTGTATGAATGAAGTCGCGTGCATTTCATTGATCAATTGACACGAATGGACAATAGTGCGTGACATTTCTGCATTTATATGTGACGCATACAATTTTTTTTAGTTTAATTTTAGTATTTAATGGATTTTTTTTTATATTTTATACCATATTCTAGTTTCCTACAAATATTTACACTTGTGAAACATTTGCTGAAAATTATTTAATTTCCTTTGTTTTTTACTACATTCAATTTGTTTAATATTTATTATTAATCAAATATAAAATTAAAGCAATGCCCTATACTTGTTTCATTCATTCTATTTTTCTGACGCAGTCAGTATAATTTCGGTTTATGACACGTTTAAAAAGGACGCTTCACTATGGTAAAAGCATGCATGATGTCGCAAATCTTTAATCTGTTGTGATGAAATAACGGAATTGAACAGATGCCAAAAAAAAAAGAAAAGAAAGATATATGCTACAATAAAAGGAGAACGTTACTGACATAAAATCAAACTTAAAAATGAAATTATCCAGAAAAAGGAATTCAGGTCATTTCTATATTAGAGCTGCCAGGAGAAAAAAAAGGCCAAACTATTTAGAGATACAGAGGGAATTAAAATATAAATGCACAGATATTAAAATAATCTAATTGTACAACAATTAAAGTTGCTGATGTTAAATTAATGCTGATGGTAATATTAGGATTTATTGAAGAGAATGTGTATATCTGAATTCTTTTTAATAGAAAACACAAATTAAATATTTTACTTTCAAACTACAAAAATGAGAAAAATCTACTTTGTGTAAAACACCATATTGTCATTGTATACAATTATAATTCTAGAAATCCCCCATAAGAATCCTCTAGACTGACCGACTGATCATTTTGTGTACACATGCATATCTTTTTTTTGTGAAAATGTTAAAAACAAGATATAATGTTTTATGTACTAAACAAATGAAATCCATATTGAAAAAAAATTTAATGCAATGTGAAATTCTTAGTTGGTGTTTATTCATGTGAGCGGAGTTTTGACCATATTAGTGGTAAATGGCCTACAGCAAGGTCAATAATGATATAACTTCTCCCGCCAGATCTGAGTTTTGATGCATAGGGTGTGCATTTTCTTTATATATTTAGAATTGCTGAAATGGAATGTTTTCTTACTGGACAAATCCTAAATGATTTATGATTAAAGGCTAATCCTGAAGTATCCCCATGGTACATGTGTGAATTATATTGAAATGAATGAGGTTCAATTAGGAAAATCCTTATTTATTCAATTGTGACACATAAATTTTTGTCATGAAAAAGTAGTTTTTAAATGTAATTAACTCCTAGACGGGTGCCTCTATATGCCTGATTTTAGCACAGGTTGCTCCTTGACATGTTATCTTTATAACCGTGTTTCAGATTTCTAAAAACATCAATAGAACAAATTTTTATATCCAATTAAGTTAAGTGATTTCTTATGAAATTGAGATTGAAAACTTCATTAAACTTCATTTTGGTTTAAAGCAACTATATGAACAGGATTTATTTGTTTTTACACAGTTTGGTTTAGAAGAAAAACCGACATGGTTATAAAATGCAAATAATTACCCCATTACTAACACAATTCTATATTAATATTCTTGTAATGGACAGAAAATACATCAATTAACACCATTACAAACTTAATCCCAATTTTATATTGTATTTTTAGAAATTTACTTATGACGTCACTTTTTGTAGCGTTGATATATTCGTGTGACACACAGTTCATTATTCGTTTGTGCTGTTTTTGTGTTCTGTCGTAAATTAATTTTATGTGGTCGTTGTTATTCTGTGGTTTACATGTTGAAATGAACTATTATATTATTTATTTTATATATTTCACTGTCCGGAATGTTCTTGTTTTTATTTGTACTGTATTCCTGTCACGTAATGTTGTCATTTTAGCGATATTTTTAACATTGCCATATAAGCCGGAGGTTTGGCTAGCTATAACACCAGGTTCAACCCTCCATTTTTCTTAAAATGTCCTGTACCAAGTCAGGAATATGGCAGTTGTTATCACATAGTCCGTTTATATGTATGTTGGCGTTTGCTTTTGTAGCAGTTCATTGTTTCTGTTGTTCCGTTTTGTTTCCTCTTATAGTGGAAGTGTTTCCCTCAGTTTTGGTTTGTGACTCGGATTTGTTTTCGTCAAATCGATTTATGACTATTCAACAGCGGCATACTACTATTGCCTTTATCATGTTTATTTACGGGAGAATGTAATACAATATGAAAAACCTGAGACACAGTTTTGGAGGTCAAACTGTGTTGCACAAAAATCTATCAAAAACTTAGGGATGCGATCAATAAAAAAGAAGCTAATTTCATTATAGTATGGACATCATAATATGACCACTAATTACACAATAATCAATTATGTAACAATGATGTAATAATGAAATTATTACTTTTTGAAAGATTTATCTTTCTTCTCTATTTCGGTTCCTCTTTTTTTAAATTTAAGAACTGGATAAATAAAATTACACTAGTTTAAAGTTGTCTGATCGGGGTTGAACAAAATCTTTGTATTGTGCTACCTTAAGAAGAGATTGATTTGATAAATAAAATGTGCATCAGTAAATAATTGATGTTTGTGTTTATTGATATTATATTCTAATTTTTCGGAAAAGATTCATTAACAGGAATGCATACATATGTTGATTATTACATTTCAATTCTTTTTTATGCTCCCGCCGTCGCGGAGGTGGGGCATTAAGTTTTACCCCTGTCCGTCTGTATGTCCGTCTGTACGTCTGTACGTTCCGAAATTGGTTTCCGTTCTCTCACTTTAGTTTGCCTCAACCAAATGTTATGAAACTTATACAATGCTTATTACCACAAAACAAAGACCAAGTTTGAATTTAGGGGGCGTCAACTTTACCTTTCTAGATTTATGCCCCTTAACAAATGGAAATAATGCTTAATTGTTCATTTCCGTTCTCTAACTTAAGTTTGCCTCAACCATATGTTATGAATCTTATACACAATGCTTATTACCACAATACACAAATAAAGCTTTAATTTTGTTGGCGCCAAATTTACTGTTTTAGAGTTATGCCCCTTACAATTGGAAAAAGTGTTGAATTTTCCGTTTCCGTTTTCTTACGTAAGTTTGCCTCAACCAAATGTTATGAAACGTATACATAATGCTTATTACCACAATACACAGATCAAGTGCGAATTTTGGTAGCGTCACTTTTACCGTTCTTGAGTTATGTACCTTTGTAACGTTATATGCAAGTGGGGTCATCATATGTGTCCCATGGGCATAATCCCTATTCTTTTTTCATTATAGTTTAACCTTTAATGCAATGAATCCGGAGTCAAAACACTTGAGGTGGGTAGCTTGACATCCGAATTCAACAATTAAACATGATATTTGAGCCTATATTAATATATGTGATGACGCAAATGCGTATTCTTATCTAAAGTATCAGCATGATCAGTGTGGTATGCTTTCTGTTTACTATTTTTTGCGCAAAAAAAATACGTGCATGCATAAATATTAATTTCACTCGCGAATGTGAATATTCGCTTTTTTTCTGAATCTAAATTCAGGACCCGGCAGTTTGAGCTTGACATGTGACTTTCAAGCATGATCATCATTACTTAAGGTATTCTGGCCTTTAGCTGTTTCTCTTTTCTTTTTTCTTTTTTTTTTGAGTATCTGTCCTATCACAAACTTTGACATTTTTCGAAATGCTAAGGATTTCCTTCTTCAGGAATAGATTACCTTAGATGTGTTCGGCAAAACATTTGTTATGAAATTTTGGGTCCTCAATTCCTTTCAACTTCGTAGTTTATTTGGTCTTTTTAACTTTTTTTATTCTAGCGTTACTGATGAGTCTCTTGTAGACTGAACTTGCGTCTGGCGTACAACATTTTAATCCTGGTATCTTTTTATATCTTCATATCTTTTCATATAAATCGGTTCTTTTGAGAGTATGTTCATAAATTCATAAAACTTCTGAAAATAAGATATTCTTCAAAACCCAGTTTTCCTGTAGAATATTTGGATTGATTTAAGTAACTTCGGGAAATCCTTAAAATTCGAGATGTTTTATGAGACCAGTTTATACATGTTATAAGAGGTCCCAATGAAGCTTGTGTGTTACTCTTTGCAAACTTCCTATTAGTTGCATGCCACAGGGTTTCACTTTACATGGACATTGTACTTTAAATTTCTCTATACAACATCAACCATTGAGTACAGACAGCTTCAATAACGAGTATACTAATAATTGAAGACATCGAGGAAACAAAATATAAAGATATGATAGATAAAATAAATGCATCCAGATTATAAGGCAAACCGAGTGCTTAAATTTATATTGCGATTGGTTTGTGCAATTTGCAATGGGATTATAAAAAAATGATGTACACTCCCAAGTAATAAATAAAATAGTCAAGCCTTGAAATGTAAATTCAAATAGTAGCTGTATATATATATATTATACACTTTTATATTAACTATCCAACATTGCTTTCGATTGACTCGTGCAAGAATCTACACACAATTACATTTTTCAATAAAGGTGTTTTAAAATCATCATTATCTTATTTTACTCATTGCTGTGTTCTGTGTTGTCTATCGTTAACAGTTGTTTAAAAAAAATATCATGTCTAGACCCCCCCCCCCCCCAAAAAAAAAAAAAAAAAAAAAAACAACAACAACAACAACAACAAAAACAACAACAACAAAAACAAAACAAAAATAAACAAAAAACAAACAAACTAAAAACAAAACAAATAACAACAAGACAAACAAGTAAAGTTAAAGGTATAAATCTAATAAAAGATCTGCAATAATTTAATTCATTATGTTATATAAAAGGATTCCATCAACACCTGTCTTTACCAGAATCCGAAAATTTTAATGCATTAAGTGCTACTGCCATTGGTCCTAGCTTAATCCAAAACTGTTATGAAAAAAATAGTTTAACAAGTGATAAGTGCTTCTTTGGCCACCTATTTAATTGTATTGGCTAAAATCATTTACGGTAGAACAATTGTTTCTATTTTAAGAGCTGACATGGCCTTTAGAAGTAGAAGAGCCTCAAAATCAGACTGTAAATGAAGGTGATGATGCTATATTTACTTGCCGACCTTTGAATGATCCTGAGGTCACAATTAAATGGGTGAAAGGAATCAAACAGGTTTACATAGAGGTATTTTTAAAACATCAAATGTAAGTTATCTTACAATATTACAGTTGCAGTTTTAATTATACTGAATAAGGTAACATACATGGGTCTGTTGTTCAATTTTTCGTTAGACTAAGTACTAACGATTCGATAAAAGTTCTTAATAATTTTTTTAAAATTATGGTGTTGTCCAACTTGTCGTTACTACGAACGAGTCGTTAAAATCTTAATCATATGATTAAGATATCAAAAAATGGCTGTCATTGCAATGTTTCATCTGGTTAGAGTTTGAAGAGAACAGCATTATCGAAGTTTTAATCCATTAAATAAACAATTCAGTGATTAGCAACTACGACAAAGGTACATGTTTTATAGGGAAACCGTTGAATTTCTTGCAATGAGTTGAAAGGCGATTTTAAGAGAAGTAGCAGTAAAAAGACAGCCTTGGTAGTTGAACAGCAAGTTATGATTGTCCTTCGTTTTTATAGCAGTGGAAGTCAGATGCAAGTAGTCGGAGATACTATGGGTTTTGATAAATCAACTGTGTCAAGCTACGCCTTGGTAGCTAGGAAAGAACAATACATCAATGTGTCAAAGAGACAACAACCCGGCCAAAGAGCAGAACACAGCCGAATGCCATCAATGGGCCTTCAACACAGCAAGAAAATCCCACACTCGGGTGTACACCCTCCGGTATTTTACAATTGATGAAAACAATTTTGTATCTTTATTTCTACTAGTCCCACCAATAATATAGCGTATTTCTAGTTGTTTGAGATCCAATCATGATTACTTAGAATTGACGACAGAATAAAAAAAAAGTAATATAGAAGTTTTGAAATAAAAATTACTTCTAAAATTACTACATGGCTTTAGAGAGAAAGACCTTCACCACAACAGAAATAAATAACTTGTAAGCATAGTACCCCATAAAATACCATACAGTTGTTTTTTTAACCAACATATTGTGTATTTTTTTTAGAAAATCTTCGCCTTTAACCATGTATATAGGAATAAAAAAAACAATAAGATGATATGAGTGCCAATGAGACAACTCTCCATCCAAGTCACAATGTGTGTAAAAAGAAAACATTCATAGGTCAAAGCACGGCCTTCAACACGGAGTCTTGGCTCTCACCGAACAGGTATGTATGTTTATAGGATTAATAACGAATGTTAATGCAAAAATGGCCTGAGTCTGCACATGATGCCCATGTTTTTAGAACGTCAGCTATTGGAAGGTATCTTGAAGATAAGAATCAGGGCATTGAACAATGATAATTGTTGGGTGATAGTGGATATCCATGTAGATTCTTCCTGATTACCGATACATGCAACCAGCAAACATAATACAGGAACGCTTTAACAGAAGTCATTGCTCTACCAGATCTACAGTAGAGAGAGTATTTGGAATTCGGAAGAAAAGTTTCCATGAGTTAGGGTCAGAGGTAATTTATTTTTTTACTTCTTCAATGGCGTTGGTAATTTGTTCACATATCAATAATAAAGGTGAATGCCCCAAAATTGCCACAGTAATTTGAAAATTTAATGGAACACCTTCTTTGCTTCCACAAGCAAACGTTAGTGTAAGTAATCTTTTTCCTCTATTATGCCGGTCTAAATCGAATTGCAGACTGTCCTCATGTGATTAGCTTAACAACAAGTTGAAAAACTCCAAATTTTTTTACGACCGCAAAAAAAATTTGGGGTCGTATATTGCTATCATGTCGTCGTCGTCGTCGTCGTCGTCGTCGTCCAGAGACATTTGGTTTCCGGACAATAACTTAAGTTTAAGAGTATGGATCTCCTTGAAATTTAAACAAAAGGTTCAATACCTCGAAAGGAAGGTTGGGATTGTTTTTGGAATAATGGTCCCAACCATTTAGGAATTAGGGGCCAAAAAGGAGCCCAAACAAGCATTTTTCTAGTTTCAGGACAATTTGATTGCTCTGAAATTGTACCACAAGGTTCAAAACTACAAGTAAAAGGTTTGGATGCAATATTTTTCCTCAAGATCAAAGAAATCAAATTCATTATTTCAAATATTTTTTTCGGGGGTCAATTTTTTTCCTTAAGAAGAATTTGGTGTCACAATTTATTTTGTCAATTCTTTGTATATAGTCTGAAAACAGATTTACTAAGTATTGCGCAATAGCACAGTGTATTGCACAAAAGCAAGAAATATTCAATTGAATATAAATTCAAATCATATAACCAATTTCAAGTTCTTTGACTTCATTTATTCTGTGTCAGAAACCTATAATGTGTCAAATATTTAATTACAATCCAAATTAAGACCTATATATCAAGCCTGAATATTGTGTCCATTTTTGCCCCAACTGTTCATGGTTGAACCTCTGCGGTCGTATCCAGCTGCGCTCGGCGAAGCAGTTTATTATTTTTACGGGGATATATAAACTTGATTTAAAGTTTATTGAAATTATGAATGTGGGCACATGAAGAGTATTATTGCAAATAGTTTATAAGCTTTTGTACACTGGCAATTGTTCGGGTCCAAAATAAAAATGCAACAAATAAATGTTTGGGCAATAACTTGGTATATTGCTAGAATTTACATCACATTGTCGTAATGAAGAAATGTTTAAGATTGTATAGGATGCTTGAAAGGAACAATAAGCTGCCATTTTATATTTCTTTTTATTCAATTGTTATAATTATTCTGTAGAGTTTAAAACTTATCTTTTGAAATATTTGCGTCTATTACAGTTAAGAATTAAACCAGAAAAGGCCTGCAGATCATCACTGCAAGTGCAGTATTGCATATAACATTGCAATTCTTTGACTTGAGCCAAATGTAGACGGTGAACAGGAGGAATATATCCAACCTGTAATACCTTCTTATGTTGGAAGATAAGATGCACAAGGGATCAGAGATCATCTTGCAATAAATTTCTTCTCCTAAATTATGTGTTTTTAGTACTCATCCTTAAATTGTTTTGGACGTCTTTACACTAAATCCGTTGTATGTGAAATGGTTGATACTTTAGTCTGGGAGAACATGATTATTCAAAAGATGTAACTAGCACTCATTAACTGCGAATACTCACTCTTATTTCGGTGATTTGTGTCTTTTTGTAATGTTTGTTTTTTTTGTGCATAGTAGCAATCTTCTGAGGTAAGCCCACTGAAGTGATTTTTACAGTTTGTTTTAATGTTGTGCTAAAACACCACTGTCCCAATTTAGGTGGAGGGTTGATCGCTTACAAGCATCTAAACCCCAACACATTCTCTACTTGCTTGTCCCACATCAGGAGCCTGTAATTTAATGGTTGTCGTCAGTTCATGTCTGTCACTTATAGGTTTTTCATAAATTGTTTTTTTATAGGTTACGCCTTTAGTTTTTTAAGTTGAATTGTTTCACATTTATCAGGGCCGGGCCTTAAAGAGCCGACTATACGGTATGTATTTTTCTCATTGTTGGAGCTGTCTGTAGTCATATCTATGACTGTCCCATATTGTGATGTTACTGGTCTTGGTGAAGGAACCCTTCCAGCTTTTGTTGACTCCCTTCTTTGTTCTTTGTAAGCCTTTTTGCCTTCGAAACTGTATTTCTCCACTTATCTTTTATCTCGATCATTCGCAGTTATGTATAAGCTATGCCCAGGGAGTTTATTTTCATAGTGATGTCTTCCCAAACCTTTTTTTGTGTGTAACCTCGTTACTAGGTTTTTGTCTTACTATATGCAATACTTCCCAACTTCTTCTTTGATTATATTTTCCTTAGCAATTGAATATTTGGTTTTGCGCAATCTGGGGAGATTTGCTGGCCAAGGATTAAGGTTGCTTTCGTCAGCCATAATTATTTTCGCAGAACAAGAAGTTATAGAGGCCCTGATTTACACTGCATTGTGGGAAGCACTTGCTATTTACCCAAAATTGCTAATTACCCAAAATTAATCATATTGATTAAAAATTATTACAGAGATTAACAAATACAACGATTTGAAGTAAGTTGAACAACAAAATTAAATCATTGTATTTACTAATCATGCGATTAACTTTTAATAACTCGTTAAAATTAATCATATGATTAGTTTAACGACATCTTGAACAACAGACCCCCGATTTACTAAATATTAGTCAATTTCTGCCACAAATATGAGATATTGATAAACTAATTACATAATTTCTTACTGATTGTTGTGTATCATATGTATAAGTCATATTATTTTTTTTGGGGTTCAAATAGACCAATTATTTTTTGTTAAAAAATCACAAATTGTCTGTGGTTTATTTTCACAAAAGTTCAATTGATTAATTTAGGAAAGGAGCTATAAAATGTATCAGCTGAATACTAGAATATGTTACCAAATAAATATACTTGTGGTTTCATATGAAAAAGTTGAAAATTAAACTGATTCCTTCAAATTCAGATTTTAGAAAATAAGGAGATGTTAGTTCTACGCAGTGTAACCATGAAAGATGCTGGACATTATGTTTGTTTTGTTGGTAAATATTTTGGTTTGAAACAAGTGGATGTATGGTTGAAAGTCATGCCAACACCTACACCGACTACCACTACAACAAATCCTAGAAAAGAAGAAGATATAAGTATGTGTTTGAATAAAAAGAAATGTGTACCGGTAAATGTCAGCGGCAATAAGTGAAATTAGGCATTAAGCTTTAATCCAAGGCAATACTATATCGCCTAGGCAGTAATTATATTGCCTAAATGATGTTAGGTAGTATTCGTAAATCCTAGGATTTAGGCTGAAATCCTGTAAAATGTGCCCAGACATTAATCTGAATACCTAAAATGTAACTGAGAGTAAATAAAAAGACATTTATTCAAAGTTAAAATACATTTGAAACATAATAATATGATAAGAACTGAAGTTTAAAATTACCTGAAATAAAGTCACTAGATGTGGCCATTTTAGTTTCAACTCGGATATAAGCAAATATATAAATTCTCGACCATTATCGCTATGCAGGTAATGGGGCAGACCAAAAACTGTGAAAAAATATAATTAATCAAGTCACTTCTGAAGCACATTTTGACGTGAGAGCTCTGATGTTACACACTTTTGTTCTAAAGCTTGGTGATTTTATAGAAATTCATAGTTTCTATCTGGGTTTGATTGGAAATTCATTAAATCAACATGTTCTCTACTGTTTAACTCTTTGTATAAAATGGGTTTCAATACTAATACCTTCCCTAAATTTTTCTTCATATTACAATTTTCATGAGGTGAAAGAAATAGGAATCACGAGAAATATTTGCATAGCCATGGAATCCCGATAAATCGTTGCATATGCATTATTAAGTTGATTAGATCATACGGTTTCTTTGCCATGATCTATGCATGTACCTTTCCAACGTAACATACATTTCGTTTATAAAACTTTTTTTTTTTGAATTTTCCTCATCATTCTCCTTTACTTTACTTTAACCTTTCAGACCCTCCAATGCTAATAATGATTTACCTTTTCAAATTAAAGTAGTCTAAAAAGTTCTATCTTTGCCAGAAGATTATTGTTCTATCATGGGTACATGCTACTTGTTTTAACTGATTCAAATTTAGACCGCAAATATTCAAGAAATTTATTAAATGCTCACAATAGAGATAATAAAGTGAAAAAGACCAGATTTCCTGGAGTCATTTAACAAAATGTTTAACAGTAATGTGAAATGGAAAGATGATGTAGGTAAATATTTATATCTACATTTGTCTACTTTTGACCAGAACAAAACCAGCTCGACCAGTAAAGTGCGAATTATCTTTGAATCAATTGCATATGAAATCATCAATCCCCCTCTTTTCATTAGATACAATGCAATCATTTGTTTGAAACATATCAATATTTGTACTACTACAAAAAATACAAGTTTATTTTGTTATGAATATGAAAAAATAATACAATTTGAAGATCTATTAGATTAATGTATATAAATATTTTCATGTTGCAATGTTTTTCGTCTTTTCGTCTTATTTCTTTGTTTGCGATGAAATTGTCAGTTTGTTTTTGACTAATTTGTTATCTACGCCTCCTTTTTATATGCATGAATAATGATTTTTTTTTAAATAAGTCAACTATATTTGAAGCATAGAATGGATGTAAGGTGTACATGTCTGTCTGGCAGGGTTCATTTGAACTTGACCTCATTTTCCTTGTTCTTTGCTCATATAAAGTTTGTATGGTTTGGTCTGTTTCTTGTTAACTATAACCAATAGGTCAACTATATTTGGTGTATGGAATGAATTGAAGGTGTACATGTATTTCTGGGCTTGGTTTATTTGACCTTAACCTAATTTCCTTTGATAATGTTAAGTTTATGTGATATTTGTAGTAAAACTTTATTTTTAGGAATATCAGCATAAAATAAATGGTCAGTAAAGCAGGCGAGACATTCCAGCGTGTGCACTCTTGTACTTCTCTCTTGCAATTTCCAAAGCTAGTGATGAGGTATTTAAAATATCAGATTACAATGTAATGTATTAAAAGTCTTGCTAAGGAATGTATTAATATAACTACCTTTAGGCAATATACAATTAAACAATGAATTACTGTCTTATGTGTCAGGGAATGACACAAGCTTTAGAAAACTAGCAATTTTCTTTTGATGACACTTTGAAAAACTTTAAATATCTGCTTTGGATTACTTGGTATTACTTAAAATTACTAAAAATAATTACAACGAATTACTGGCAATTACTTGAATTATTGTTATATAAAAATATCTAAAAGCAATCATTTGTCATTTTAATATAATGTTTATATTGTAAATTGGGTCTAACTAAGTTTTATAGCTATTGAATGACCATCTAATGTACCAAATTATTTAATAAATCCAGGTTTAAATAGGTAGTATTTGGTTGGAGACTTATATAAAATTTCATCCAATCAAAATTTAGCTCTTATTTACATTTGGTCAGCCATTTAAAATAAAAGAAACATGTCACGAACTCATGGTTGATTTTCAAGATTAAAAGTTTTATTATCCTCAGACACATCAGTGTTCAAGAGGTCAATATACATGCATACATAAATAAAGTAAATATCCATACAGTAATTATAATACAACTATGATAAACATGTATGTACGACAACAGGAGCTAACACACATTTAACAATCACGTGATTCTCGTGGCACTTTCATGTGTATACAACATAGTCAGTTTAAAGTATATATCTCTATCATTTGGATTTAATACAATGTCATGAATATGTGAGTTTTTACATAGGTATTAATAATTGAATAATTATAAATATTTGATAATGTTTTTTATAAATCTGCAAATATTACGATATAACTTTACATTGCAATTTGACAGCATTCCAATCATCTTATTCTCTGATGGATTTGTATTGTAATAAGGTGGAATAAATTTTTTGCGCAGATCCACGATTTGTGGATATGTACAAGTAAACATATAATGATATTCGTTACCAATATTAAAATTACATAAATGACATATTCTATTTTGTTTAGGGATCTTTGTCCATCTTCCTGTCTCTATGGTAAATTTTAGATTTGAGCATCTTAATTCACACATATATAATCTATCAGATACAGCCCTTCTAAGTAATTTAAATTCATGTTTAAAAAGTCCATAAAATTCCCCCCTTGATGAGCTATTTATTTGCGAAAACCAGTTTTGAATAAATTGATCAGTCAAATTCTGTTTTAGAATTAGATAACTTGAGAATAATGTTATCCATATGCATTTGATCATTTCATATAAAACTAAGCCCTGTTTCATCACAAAAAGATTTAACATAAGCAATCCATTTAAATTGTCCTTTTTTACTCTCGTGAAGTTTAAACATAAGTCTATACAAAATACTAGATATTTTTTTACTACTGGATAAAAGGTTGTTCCAAAATAAAGCCATTCTCAATTTAATGACAACTTCCATTGGAGAACGTCCAAGTTCTCCATATATCATATAGCTAGGAGTATTGTTTCTTAAATTGAGCATTCTCTTACAAAATTGCAAGTGTATTTTTTCTATACCCTGTTTATTTTCAAATCCCCATACTTCACTTGAGTAGACAAGAATTAGAGTAATAAGAGAATCAAACAATTTTAATTGCAAATCTAATGGAATTGACAGATTTCTTATTTTCTGCAATAAGGCATACAAAGCTTTATTTGTCTGATCCAATAATTTCTTTTTAGCAGTACAAAAACTAACATTCTAATTGAACATAACACTAAGATATGAATATGAATCTTGTACATCAATATTTTCACTATAAATGTTAAATACAATTTTTGGTTTAAATTTTCTCTTACTAAATATTACAATTTTTGTCTTTTTTGTATTAATACGAAGTTTCCATAAATTACAATATTGCCCAAACGTTACCAAGGCCTGTTGAAGACTTTCTTCTGTTTTAGACAGTAGTATAGTATCGTCTGCATACAAGATGATTAGGAGTTTAAGCAAACAAGACAATTCTTCTTCACATTTTGCAGCCATAGACCTTTTGTAGACAATCGACATTGTTGTCTAACAAGAAACTTTCAAGGTCATTTAAAAATAAAAAGAAGAGGAAAGGAGACAAATTCTCTCTCTGTTTTACTCCTACATCACAACTGAAAAACGCTGAAACTTCGTCTCCTTTCCTTACACATGTTTTAATATTTTGATACATATTATATATAACTTTAAAAATTTTACCCTGAATATTTGATTTCTGCAATTTTTGCCACAGTCCCATTCGCCAGACTGTATCAAACGCACTTTTAAAATCTACAAACGAACAAAACAGTTTTTCCAGCAGAAAAACATAATGATATAAGGGCATGTAAAATGAATATATTGTCTACAGTTGAGAAGCCTTTTCTAAACCCTGCTTGGGCCTCAGAAATTAATTCAATTTCCTCTGATAATGTGTTTAATCTACAATTTAATACGGCAGTAAATGTTTTACTAAGACAGGAGTTAAGAGGTATACCCCTGTATGCACTAGGATCTAATTTAGATCCTTTGTTTTTGAAAATAGGAATCATAATTCCCATACCCCAGCTCTCAGGTACAAGACCTGTGTCCAAAATGATATTGAATAGCACAATTTATATAGGCATCATATCATCTAATGTATTTCAATATATTCATTTAGTATACCATCTTGTCCGGCAGATTTGCCATTTTTTAACTTCTTTACAGCATTTTTTATTTCAGTTATAGGATCATTCAATAATTCATTTAATTCTGATGATATATCAATAAGGTTTACATCTATATCATTACTACATTCATCCATATCATTCATATTCAAGTCCTTAAAATAATTGTACAAAAATTCCATAGATATAATGTTAGATCATCTTTACTCTTTTTATTAAAGTTATTCAAGATTTTCCAGAATTCCTTGCCATTTGTTTGTGACGTTTTTCTAATCTGGTTTTCAAGATTAAGTTGATAATCATTATAAGCTTTATTTGTTATCTGCTTATATTGTTTGCTGAAGTCAAGTAATTTTTTATGATTTGTTTCATTTTTGTGTAAACTGTATTGTTTTCTTGCTTTGTGAATTTTTTTTCTAGCATCGTAACACTTTTTAGTGTACCATGGTTTCTGGTTAGTTCTTTGTGTTGTAGTGCGAGGATTTTTAACAAATGTTTCGTTCGCAGATGATACGAGTATTTCGCCAATGTTGTCAACAGCATTGTCAATTTCGTGTTGAGTACAATGATCACTCGAGTGTAAAATGTGAAGGTCGTTTAGTATTGCCGATAACTGTTCTTTTTTATTATGAACTGTATTGACAAACTGGTTTCGTTTGTTATCATGCCACCTTGTTTTTGGTGTTTGGTCTGACGTAACAGAATTGTTTTCATGTGACGTACTTTGTGACTTTAATGTAATGTGTATTGCGCTGTGCGCATCAGATAACAGTGGATAAAACTGTTGTATTTCAAATTCTTTGACTAGTGTAAAAAGCTTTGACGATAACAGTAAATAATCTACTACACTTGTATTTTTACAAGTAGTTTTACCATCACCTTTACCTACACCAATACGGGAATTAGCAATATACATATTCAATTTTTTACAGCAATTAAGCAATTTATACCCATAAGTATTAGGTTGACAACTACACTGTGTCACTCTTTGTAATGGAATAGTATAAGACTTAAGATTTTCATAATCTAACATATATGAAATAATTTCGTTGTCAGTGTCTAAGTGAAACAGATCTAATAGAGTTTCATCAGCTAATACAAAATCATTCAAAATACCTGTCTTTGCATTGAAATCGCCAATAAGAGCAGTATGTGCATCTGATACTTTCTTAAGAGCCATCAATTCATTCTCGATTTCATCAAAAGCTTCTAAATTTGAATATTTCGAACCTTCAGGTGGTATATAAATACAGCCTACAATTACATCGTTTTGCAAACCTAAAATGCTTTTTGCTACTTTTATCCATTGTACAAATTGACTTTCACTCGATATAAATGTTAAACGTGTTTCTAAGCTTTTCTTGTAAATAACTGCTATACCACCTGATTTTTTACACATTTTTTTTCAATTTTTTGTTTCATATGTATAACCTTTTGGAACATCTAAGACATCTAGATTATCCAGTTTGCTTTCTACAAATATTGAAATATCATAGTTTAGTATATTATCTGTAAATTCTTTAAATTTCAACTTAGATTTTACTCCACAGAAAAATATATTAAGATCATTATTCACACATTTATTGTTGTTATGAGTATCTTTGTTCTCAGTGTCACTTCTCTGTCCTCTTGTACATCTGTCTTATTCACCATTACCATGATCCATTGCTACAGGAGGTGGAGGATGTTGACTAGTTGTCATAGGAAAGAAACGTTTCAACGTTCAAATTTAGCCACTATGCCTCTTGGACTCTTGTCCTTTTTTGGTTGAAGTCTATGAACAACATGAAAGTTTATTTCCTCCTCTATTTGAATTTCACTCTTAATAAAATCTTTCAGAATTGCTTCAGTGTCATCTTCTGGATTGTAATCATCTGGGACACCTTTTAATATCAAGTTTTCCCTCATTGATCTTGATTGTTGCTCTATTACTTTCTCTTTTAATTGTCTGTTTTCTTCAAATAGAATGTAATTTTGTTCATCCATGTCCTGTACTCTGTTTGACATTTCACTTAGCCCTTGATCAATGTTAATGATATTGTTAGTATGTGTCTTTATCTGTTCTTTCATGTTAGAAACTTCACAGTCTATTTTCTTGCAGTGTGTTTCCATAGAGACAACCCTTTTTAATATGTCTTCTAGCATATCTAATTTTTTCAGTCTTTCTGTCACTTCACTCATTAATTTATTTAAATCTGGATTTGTGTATTGGTATGGTGATGGTATTAATAGTGGCATGGTGGACATCATAGCAGGTAATTGTTGATGATTGCTCTGCATCATATTAGCTGGTGTAGTAAGGGGGGGGGGGGGTGGGGGGTGGTGGTT